AGATGATGGCAAAAAAAAAAAAAAAAGAACGGGAGGCAGGGGCTTGCTGCGCGGGAAAGGGACTGGGGGGAAGATGTACGATTGAAGGAAGTTCTGGAGAAAGCGTCGGGGCTGAGAGGGCTGGGGGTTTTAATAGGTACCGAGAGATGCGAAAAACGCCATTTGTCTACTCCGTGACTAGCTTGGCTTCCATCGTCACGGCGCCCTGTCGGGAACTACGGCGGCCGCGGGAGGAGGGGCTGCGGCTGGTGGTGCTGACGAACAAGAAGGACATGACTGGACCGACGTTCCCAGAACGGCAACTCCTACTGATGGGATGCTCGCCGCCCGCTGCAATGCAGGCTGGGCCGCTACGAAGAAACAATGCACGCGCGCCCAAGTCACTCTTCGTCAGGTTCGGTCGTTATGAGTCGCGATGAGTCGCTTTTTGTGAGCCGGCGGGCGGCTGATTCGGCCCCGCGCGCGGGGTTCTTCTGGTGGGGGAGGAGAATAGGTGGTGATGAGCTAACTTCGCGGGGGAGGGCCGCCGGGGCCGGGGCCGGGTACCCGCTGTGAGAGCCCTGGTGGCCACCCCGAGCGGGTAAAACGTACGGAGTGGTTGCTGCCGCTTTTGTAGAAAATCTTCTACTCCGTGACGCCGATTGCAAATTTTCAAGGTCCAAGTGCGCACGACATGCATAAGATATGGGAGGGGGGCCCGGTTGCAAGTTGATGCCTCAGTGTACTGGCGGCTTGTACTGTAGTCATCGAGTGCCCGTGGACGGCTTGTTGGTCGGGCTGGTCGGGCTGGTAGGACTTGGAGGCAATATTCTCTGTAGCTATCTGCTAAGATAACAAATGGGCTTCTCGCTTTATGACAGGCCAAGGCTACCCGACCAAGGTCTTGCGGGTTCTTTCTGTTATCGCTGTCTGCTTCTGCCACAGTCCACAAAGCCTTGCCCTTCTTGCCACGGCCTTGCGCTACTAATACACTACGCCTTCCTCTATCTATCTAAACCGTCCAGCTCCAGGTGCGCGTGGTTTCCAGCGGCGGAGAACAGGAAATGCGTGCAGGAATCATACAGTAAGTAAAATCCAGGTAGAACGGTGGACTGGGTGCGTTGCTCAAGAAAAGCTACACGAGCAAGTCTTCGCGCGGTGGTGGTAGCTGCGCCGCCAAGATGCGCTGGTGCATCAATTTGTCCTGTTCGGGCGGCTACTCGGGGCGGCCGTGGTGCCTTTCATCTTTGTTTAATGGTGTGGGTGGAATCTAGGTCGAGTAAAAAAACTCAATCGTCAGTGAGGAAGATAATCTGGTAAATGGGCATTGTCTGGCCAAGGCACGCGGTGCCTATTAACACTTGTCCCCCATCGTAGTCGGGTCTGTCAGCATGTCGCATAGTAATAAGGCATATTAGTCTAGTCCTCTATTCTGCCTGCACAACGCACATCCAATGCGTCTTTATCCCAACTGCAGTCATCAGTTACCTTTACGGGCGACTCTCCTGGCCGTGGTTGGACCGGCGCCAGCTCTGCATGACAATGCAAATGCAGAGCGGGCAATGCAGCACACAAAAGTCGGCAACTCTAAATTCTAGAACGTGGCCCGACGCTGTTGCACATGACGTCCCGAATCATGCTGGGGATTTGTTTTGGCTGGCCGGCACACTGCATCCACTCAGGACGAGAGCTGCAGTTGAAACCAACTCGGTCGAGGCCGAGGTAGAGCCCGGTACGATTGATTGCCTTGACGGCCGGTGGGATGGGTAATGGCATGTCGCCAAGGGCCCCATTGCATGAGAGAGCAAAAGTCTAAGATTGGATGAATGAGTGCAGATGGGACACGGAAATCTGTGATTCCTCGGAACGGGAACAGACGGGACGCCCACTGTTTGTTAGTATAGGTAGTTTATAGGTATTGCAAGACGGCTCTTTGTAAGTTTGTATGTACAGCAGCACACTGTCTATACAGAGCTAACTGTGTACTATGTACTGTATGTACATCCATTAGTAGGTACTGTACAAGCGGCTATAGAAGGCGGCGCCAGTGATGTGGCTGGCCGGTGGGGGCCGACGCTTGGCTGGGGTACGGGAGAGGACGATGACAATTTGTTGCTCGTTGGATATTTCTTTTTCTGTCAAGAATGACAGAATGAGAAATACCGAGGCTAATCAGTGGAAAGAAGTCAACAGCCGTTAAGCAAGCTGCCGATGTAGCATGGTGGCGTGCAAGCAGCATGTAGTAATTATGTACTCAGCTGTAAGACGACGAAAATAAAGCGGCTTGAGTTCCTGCAGGCGACCAGCAAGCACATGCCAGCGCCCTGTCAACTGCTGCCCAACAGACAGGCGTTTGCCCACCGCCAGCTGCCAACCCGAACCCCCTCCCCTCTTCCTCTCTCGCGTTTGTCGTTGAAGCTTTCAATTCCAATCCCTTCCTTCTTCTCCCTTCATCAACAAGCTACGCCCATCATCGCCATCATGCTCGCATCACCCAACCCGCCTCACAGACAATGGCAACGGCCGCCGTTGCTCCCAGCGTCAAGGGGTCCAGCGGTTGCCTCAGAAGCTCCAACCGCGCCGCACCAGGCATGAGATCCCTCAGGTCCACCCAGTGACCCTTCTCTAAAACAAGCTCTCTTTCTCTTCCGACTCAGGTCCATCGTCTATCAAGGGCCGTTTTCTGTCCCTCTACTAGCCGGACCACTTGTTCCTGACACGTGTGGAAAGAGTCTAACAGCTATTTCCCACCATGTTTCCTTCGGAGGGACCGACAGCTTCGCCAGCAGGCCGCCTGTTGGCCCATCACCGTCTACAATGCCACCCACAGCAACACGACAGACTGAACATGGCCAACTGCACCGCACTCGCCAACATGCCCATATATCCTCAATCCTCATCGTCGTTCTCGTTTTCGTCTAGCGCCAACAGCCTTCCACAGCACTGCCAAATCACGACCACGCGTCGCAGATTCTTTACATGAAACGCTGCCCGACTGTTGGCCAACCACCACAGCTCCTGGTCCGTGGGGCAGCCGCCTTTGACATGCGACACTGCTTGAGACGATGCCGCCCCGGGTCACCCAAACCACAAACTGGCCCGAATGGTTTCCTGTTTGGCACTCGTGCCGCCATAATGGTCTGGTTTCTTGGCGCTTGTCCTGCAAAGTCTTTGGGAATCTATCCGACCTCCACCTTGTTTCTCGAGCATGCCTGGCTGCTCGCCTTGTTCTTCTTCCGGGGACAGCTTCCTTTGCTCTTTCAACTATACCGTTACACAGCACCAGAACCCTTCAGGATGATTCACTGACATATGAATTTCATAATGGCGGTTGATCGGGACGTTTTTCATTTCCGGCTTCTCATTTTTGCTCCCTTCGTCTTCTAGTACCTTTCCTGGGCGCCTTTCTAAATCCTGGCTGCTGTCGCTCTTGGTGCCCTCTCGTATGGCTCTTAGCCATGGCTAACGCCGGCGGCACGCAAGCCCTCATTGCAGCATTTGGGTTGTCAGTCTGCCATCTACTACCGCTACGCATCTTTTCAACTAATCATCATCAGTGGCCTCGTCGCTTTGGCGTCCACCGTAGCTCTATACCGCTTCGTCGACCTCGGCAACCGCCCTACCAACGGCGATGCGCCCGTTTCAAAATGGATGAGGCTGGTCCTCATTACCTTCTTCCTCTCTTCGGCACTTTGGAGCATCATAGATTTTGCGGCTACCCTCACCAGCGGCGATGCCAACCCCGCCTGTCAAATCCTCGTCGTCATAGCCGCCACCTTCGACCAGCTCGCCCGTGTCACCTTTGAGGAGTTTCTACTCTTGCGAATCAACTTGGACGAGCGCTCCGGGAGTATTCTACTTCTACAATCCCTGCTGGGTACGCGCTTTGTAATTGGCGGTGTCTTGGTCGCCGTCCAGCGCCCGCAGGACTTTTCGGTCTGCATCGCCAAGAATATTCTGGTTCCCCTTGGCATTGCCACACTGATAACGGACGTTCTAATCGTATTCGCGCTCTTTGTCCTCATTTGGAAGAGAAGGGAATTTATCCCACCGAACATACAGACTACTAGATTTGCGCCGGCCAAGATTCTTACTTTCTTGACTGCCGGCTTTGCAGCGTGGCTGGCTGTAAGTCTGCTCTGACGACCTCTTTCACCGATGCTAACAGATACCCCAAGACAAGTATTCCGCTGATATTCGGCCTCGAAGCATTTGCCTTTGCCACCCGAACTGTCGTGCCATCCGTCGGCCTTCTTATACTAATAGGTTTGTTCAATACAGGACGACGCGATTCGGCGGCTCTAATATTCTCCAGGTCTTGTCGTACTGTTTCGGTCCTATATTCTCTTTTCGGAGCCCCTACCGCAATCTGGTTCCACAAGCCCCGACACTTCCAAAGCTCTCCCTAGCCGACCAGACGAAAGCCGCGACACAGATCCGCCTCGAGACGTTTTCAACAGACCCTGGGCTGACGGTAGCCAGCGTCTTCACATTGCTCAGACACAGAAACCCAGCACCGGACCACTTTCACTACTCAAACCAGGCTCCAGAGCAACTAGTACGACCCTATTGGTGCTCAATCCTCAAGCGCCTAGCCAGTCAAGGTTGGGGGTTGATGGCACGCCTGCTCGAGGACAGCTGTTTCCACCTATCCGCGCGGCTACAGCTCCGATCGTACTCCAAAACCCACCTAAGAGGCAACCAAAGGGCAAGCTGGCCATTTCAAATCCTGTCATACGTGAAAGCTCCGCTCTCAAGATAGAGAACGAAATCGCTACCATGGACTTAGCCACGGCCGCAAAGAGGTATCAAGAAAGAGCTGTCACCTCGAGTGCCATGGCAGCGGATAGAGCCAGCCAGAGCCAGGCCGTGACACGAACTCTACAAGAATCCAGTTTCAAACGAAAGGATGGCTTAGCTGCTAATTCCGTGCCAGCCATGTTGTCCGAGCGCCCATTATTGCAGCCGAAAGCCGCGACGACGGGTACGAAAATATCGCCTAGCGCGGATGAGCTTCGCCGCCGATCACCACGCGCGACACTCAGTACATCTAAACTGGTTCTGTCGCCTCCGCCGCGGTCTCCCAGGAGGCCACCCCAAGCGGCGATGGACAGGTCGTTTGAAGAACCTCCCGCGATACCGCCCCAGAGCCCGATGAGAAAGAATGGGTCCGGAAGCTCAGTTTTGCGCGATAATTCTGGAATATTCATCGATCCGGGGACACCACCTGAAATTCCGACGCCACTGAGGCAAGAGAATGCCAACTGGCCAAGGGCCGGCGCCGCGGAGAGCCCGCTAGTCCCCAGAGTCGAGCCTCTGCCGATGCCACTTTCCAAAGCGCAACTTAATACCACTCCACCAACAGCCTATAAAAGCAAAGCTTCCGCTTCTGCCCGCGCATCTATTCTCACGCGTAGCGGTCCTGGATCTGTTAGGAGAGATATTCGGCCATCCAGACAACGTCCGGACTCGCGAGAGGCCGAAAAAAGTCTCCCAGCCCCTGCCAAAACTCCCGTTCAGCTAAGGGCTGTCACTGGGATTCCAGTGAACCCAAGGGCGCAGCGCACCAACGATGTTACAGATGAGACTGGCGAGCGTGGCAAAGCAATCATGTTTTCCAACCAAGCAGTTGCTGACGGGGGTGAAGAAGGCACTGTTTCACGCCAAATCCAGTCCCTCTCCTTGGCGAACTCTTCTCCATCTACAGACTCTATTGTCCATCGTCCAAGGCCGATACCTCGCAAGCGCTCAATCTACAAGGCTGAATACACGATCAAAGTCTCCCCTACGGTGGTGTATCGGCATCGATTGTCGCGCTCGGGCGGCTCGGTCGAGTTGCAGCGGGCAAGTATGGAATCCGAAGAGGATGATACCATTTCGCGCATTCCTTCGTTCCCGGAGCCGCCCAGGAGCGCCGGTGCCCTTGGAGTAAACTACCTGAAAATCTCGGATAATGCGAGCAAGACGGTCACACCAGGCAGCATCGATGAATTTTATAGTTCCGGGATCAGCTATTTTGCTAACTCGACGCCATACAATGCAGTCGACGTGGATCCCGAAACGGCACCGTCAGAGTCTACAGAATTCGGTAGCAGAGCCAGTGTGGAACCCGAATTCGCTTACAATGTCCGGCGGCAGTCTTCGCCAGTACTACCAGTCGAAGAGATGCGGCATGTCTCCATGCTGAACCCAGCGGCGCCACTGTCGGAGCTGAAATCGGTGCCAAGCAGTGCACGATCAAGTACTACCTCGCAGCACGATGGTGACGAGATTGTTCCTTTGATTCTGGACACAGACCCAGAGGGTTCCTACAGTGGACTCAGCTCGCAAAGGAATTCTTTGGGGCCGCAAGCCAGGTGGCATCGTCGTGTGGGGGATGTGTGTCCAACATTTTCTGACCGCAAGAATGGTCAAAAGTCTCCCCGGCGTGTGCTGGCACCGACTCCTCTTCTGCTCGGCAGATCTAGCAAGCCAACCAGAATTGCTGAGTCGCCAGTGCCACCCCTAGAGTCTCCTCAACATGCACTCGACATAATACAGCAGCAGCTGAGGGAGCTAGATGAGGCTGACTCAGAAAGCGGTAGTGAGGATAAGCAGCGTCGCAAGCTTCTGGAAAATCTTGAAGCAGAAATGGGGGCCCAAGAAACGCACTGGCTAGACATCCGCCGTAATCTAGCTGACCGGTCGCCCTCATCTGCCAGATCCTCCAGGTCGCTATTGGCAAGCGGAGACTTGCATCTTGCCTCGTCCCCGCCATCTCCAGTCCTGAGGTCGCCTGATCTAGGTTTACCAGTAATTGGCCGGGGTATGGACCCTACTAGCGCCACGGCCACGGAAAACAACACCAAAACCCCGGCTGATGACGAGAAATCCGACCCTGCAGCCAGTGAGCTTACTGTTCGGAGCAACTCTGGTTTCACCGACCAAGGCTCGGCCCCGGCTATCTTGGGCGAGGTGGAAAACCGAGCCAAATTCGGCAAGTCAGAGTCACGCAATAAAGACGGTCTGGTGCCCACGACGATGACAAACGATATATCTGCACTCCGCCAGCCTGCGAATCACCCAACTGCCTCCGAAACTAACAAAACCGAGGAAGACGTTGAAAAAGTCAAGCAAACTGACTCTGCATCTGCCAAGAATTATAATTTCAGTTCCTGGACTGAGCCCAGACCCGTCAATTTTGCGTCTCCACTTCCGGTATCGCACTGGAGCATCGACTCAGATACAGCCGCCCTAGCTTCCGAAACACTGCAGCAGGCAGCAGACATTGCGGAGGAGCCCAGTAACCCGGTCAGAAACTTTGCGAGCACTTCTCCTTTGATTGGGGACGGAGAAGGAATACAAGCACGGCAAAGCTTTAATAAAGCCCTCGCGTCACCCACGTCATCCAGCTCACTGCCTCGGGAAAACCTAGTCTCAACTGCAGTTTCAGAGCAAACGCAAAGTCCGCACCGGCCAGTCACTCAAAGACCGCCGCGGCGAAGCAAAAGAATCACCTTGCTTCCGGATATTCCAGAAAGCCCCAAACCTCTCAGTGATAGCAAGCACAACACTCTTGGATTTTTTCGATTTCCCTGGGGAGAAACCTCTGACATCGCCACACTCCAACCTCAACTACCCTCGGCATTTTCGGTACCACTCCCTGGAGCAACTCTTGCTTCCCAAGGACCTGTCTTGCCTTCTGAAGTCTATCCTGCTTCTTTTTTCGATCACTACTCTGACGACGAGCTTCCTGCCGCAGACAGTGACGAAGGCTACTCTGACGACGAAGACGAGGCCTTTGACGAAACTACCTTGTGGGAAATCGCCAATCTGTTACGCTCAAGCGCGGTCCCTTCTCGTGGCAGTCTATTTCCGGACTCTGAAGAATACCGACCACCTTCACGTGCCGGATTTGCTTCTACCGACGAGACGACAGTCCTAGCAGTCCGAACTCTGCCCACCGCAATACTAGAGGACTCTACGCTCGGAAACAAGGACAAGGCGCTGCCCCCTCTGCCGCCTTCCGATAACTCTGTTTGGACATCCGACACCATGTACACCACCACCGCCAGAAAATCCGCTGGTCTCGCTCAGCCTGATGCGAAAACGTGGAGACAGTACCTGGGCAAGCAGGACGAAACGCTTCGCGCAGCACCTCGCAAGTCGGAGCCGGCCAGCATCACCAGCACTTCCCTTTGGCTACACTCACCCAAGAATGCTGAACCCGTTGCTACAGCCGCCACTTCCGGTCTCTGGCAGTCTTCCCAGGACGCATCCCCCGTTTCGACCGCCCCTTCAACCCCTTTCCTCACTTCTCCCTCTCCCACAGAATTCAGCATGAACCAACCCTCCGCGCCAGTCAAAACTACTCCTCAACCACATGGACTCTGGACGCCTCCTGCACCAGTTGCTCGCGTTTTCTTTGGCTTGCCTCAGGAGGAGGGCGAATGGAGCCGTTACACAGCAAAGAAGATTCGATCTTCTCGGCCTAGGCCCAGGCCTTCAGCCCAAGATGTGATTCGCAGCAGCAGTCTTTGGACCAGCTCCAAGCCTGCTTCTGCTGCTCCTGCTGCTCCTGCTACTCCTGCTGCTCCTGCTGCTCCTGCTGCTCCTGCTGCTCCTGCTGCTCCTGCTCCTTCTCTCACCTCTATACCCAACAAACCCATCCTTCCAATTCAGCTGCTTTGGTCTCAGCCGGCTGCCCTCTCGGTTGAGCAGACTGAGGGTCTCTGGAACGCCTCGCACATCCGCGACCAGTATAAAACAACCGAAAAACGCCCCGCGGCCCTAGACACAGCTCGCAAGCTGCGCATTGACCGCAGACCGTTGGCCACTCTATCTTCCGCCTCGCTCTGGTCGACGACGACGCAGACGCCGACTCGCCAAGTTCCCAACTGGCTCGCTCTCTCCACCACACTTCGCCCCGTCTCACCGGGCGGCGCATCCACGCTCTCGGATCAGGATTCCGCTTCAGTCTCTGACACATACTCTCTGCGCTCCGAATTGACGTCAGCCAGCTCCGTTGCCGCGTCGAAGCAGCCCGCACACCGCAAGACGGCTTCCCTGCAAGCCGCCCAGGAGGAACTTGACGCGGCGTTCCGCGAAGTTATGCAATCTAAGCCGGTGATCCCCGCGGCCGTCGCCGAGGAAGAAGTGATCGAGCAGCAGCATCAGGAGGAAAAGCTTGAGGAGAAGGAAGAGCTTTTCTTTGACTCGAGCCGGTTCCATCCTGTGTTCGCTGTGGACGTGCTTCACGTCACCTCAGACAACGTGCATCCCGCTGCAACAGGCTACCTGCATTCTATCGTCAACGGGGCCCCTAAGCCTCGACGTCGTTGATTCTGTATTATTTTTAATACTCTTATATTATACATATATATTCTTCTTCTCTCGCTGGCATTCCAGTCTGTATTGGTGTTGGGTTTGAAAGGATTGGCAGCAAAGTCATACATGAGCTGATGCGAGCAAGCATGACTAGCTGCGTAAGCATGATGCAAGAATTGGCGTTTTTAGGAGTGCGATATTTGGCAATGGGGATTTTTGGAATTTCGGCGTTAGTTTTTACGGCGGTGCTCTGTCTTTTCAAAGCGAACGAACACATCCCATGGTAACGAAATCAATAAATAGCAAATTATAGCATGCAGTTGATACTTTACGCGTCTTCATCCTTCTCTTCGCCTCTGTCTCAATATACTTTAGGACTTCGCCAAGGGCATTTATCAAGCCATATGGTAAAAGGGTCTGCCACAACCAACTCTACGCCTGACCGTTTTGCCCGCCCTGCGCAGATGTCCCTCTCTGTCCATTCTTCTTTCAGAATTGCGACGGGCTGCCGCCCGGGAAAAGCAGTTACATCTTCGTTTCCCCGGAATCAAAGATGGTCCCCCCCCTTTTTTTTTCTTTTTCCCCGGACAATGAATTAACAGCAAAGCCTCCCTCCAGACAAGAGGAACCACACATCACTTTTTAAGAACCCATATATCCGTAATCTGTACAAGGTGTTGGCATGACGACAGCGACGCCAAGCAAGAGCCAATAGACAACACGCATGCGGAGGAACGGACAGAAGTATACGGACGAGAATGGGATATATCGAGATATCAATAACAACCCACAAAAGGTTTATACACGTACACACGGCAAAATCCCGTTTTCCACGGCCGTCTTGACCTTTTCCCTTTTTGTCTGTGATTCTTTTCTTTCTCTCTTTCTTCTGTAGTCTGGGGTTGGTTCCCATGTTGCAAATAATGGGGGCCGCCGCCCCCATACCCAAAGTCAAAAGAGGAATTCTGAAACAAGTTATGCCAGCAATTCTCCTTCATCGGAAAATCTTTTTCTTATTAATGCGTGCTGCGCTTGGGTCACCAAAAAGAGAAGGACGCGTGTCCGTGCAAAATGCAACTAAGCAGGGGAAAATAAACAAAATCAAAGTCCGCCTGCCCTGGTTGACTTAGCAAAGCCGTACCCACAACTGGTGCTTCGGCAAAAGATAATGTAGCAATGCCGTTGAACATATATCTCACGGCGCCAAAAGCAAAACATGATTCTAAGAGTAGTAGGAATTCTCATGAAAAAAAAAGGAGAGAACAACAATCGTTGTCAAGAGTAATACACCAGAGCCCAAAGCCATCGCTATGCAAAGATAACAAAAAAAAACATTAAATCTTTATACACTGCCCCATCCCACGTATCGTCAACGTACGGAGGGATGGCAACGTTTCAACATGAATACAGTAGTGCCGCCGTTATCGTACCGTCATCAACGGAAATCGTCGTTCTATTTGCGGGGGTGGCGAGCTGTCTGGTGATGTGGTTTGTTTCAGGGTGGTGTTGCCGCGGCTTCTCGTAACACGGCGGGGAGGACTGGAGCCAGGGTCGTCAAAGACGCGAGTAAACGCCGGGCTCGAATCGGGGCCGCGGTCTCGGTCGTGTCGGAGAGGACGCGCTGGGCTCTGGGTGAGCTGATCTGTCCTGCGGATGATATCCGAAAGGGTGTCACGGAGCTCGCCAGATCTTTTAACCAGCGCCCTCAAGCTGTTTGTATCAAACTGGACCTTTCTGCTAGGTTTGCCACTGTCGGGTATAGTGTCCGAGTCGCTACGATGCTGCATAGCCTCCATGACGGTTCGCACGACGCCATTAACGTCGGCAAGGCGTTCCGGCGTCTGCGACGGCTTTTGGCTTGTCTTCTTTGGTAGCGGGCTAGCCTTCTTATCCGCTGAGCTGTCGGCTCCGCCAAAAATGTCATCGTCAGGAGAAAAGACGGAACGCCGGCGTGGTGAATGGCGCTCACGCAGGACAGCAGTCTTGGAAACAGAGGATGGCTCGAGCTTGGGAGATGCGAGGTGAAGCTGCTGCTCGGATTCGGGGGTCTTGGGCCGCTGGTCTCCTTGCTTGGCCTTACCGTCGAATGCGTCGAGGTCCACGGAGGGGTTCGAATCCGCGTCGTCGTCCATAGTCTCATCGTCCGGGGATGCAAGCGCGATGACGCCTTCTGCTTCTTTCCAGAACGCCTTTTGTGAGCCTTCCAAGAGGCCCATGTCACGACCGTGGCGACAAAGTCTCTTGAGGTCGTTAACGAGGAGAGAGAGCTCTCTGATTTGACCAGAGTGCGCTTTTACGCTAGGCTGGCTGGCTCGAATGGATTCGGGAACGGCAAACATGGACTCGTTTTCGCGGTCCTCATTGCCAGTGGTAGAACCAAATTCGAAGTCCTCGTCCCAATCCTCGCTAACAGTCTTGGTACCGAGACCCCAGGTTCCATACTTGGCGGCGGTGGACTTGCATTCGTCGGCAGCATCGTGGACCACCGGCACGCTTTGGCTCCTTACATGCGCAGGCGCAGGTCCACGTCGGTTGGCAGAACGACCTCCTCTAGGGTCTACTGTCTGCTTTGTGTAGGCAGTCTGCGGGCGGCCAGAACGTCGCTCGGCATCGTGCTTGTCCTGGGTCGAGGGTTCACTCCAGTCAAAAATGTTACTAAGGGGGCGCTCGGTGCCATGCGAGTTTTCACCGTCGTGGCTTCCGTTGGCCATGTTGGCGAGAGCGAGCCGGACATTGGGGTTCATGCCCTTGGCGTTCAGGGAGCTTTTGGAGGGAGCTGAGAGAGGGCTAATATGAGAGTCGGCTTCCTCATCTTCGTAGCGGGCCCAATCGTCGTCGAAATCATCGTCCAGAGACATTCGTGCAAGGTCATTGGCAGGAAAGGGGCTGTGAATGGAGTTTTCGGCGAGCCGCAGAACGTCGGGAGAGGAGCCACCGCGTGTGTCGCGATGGGCAGACGCATTTACCTTAGTGGCGGACGGGGCACGGACCGGTGTCTGTGAGGTTTCGTCTTCTTCCGTGATTCTGTCGTCGCCATCCCAGGCCTTATCGAGCATTTCGTGGATGGAGAGGCGCCGCGACTTGCCGTTGCTAGCAGTGCTGGGGGGCGACTCGTCGTAGACGGATTCGAGCGGCGTGTCAACGGCCCTGGCGCGGCTAGAGGCAACGGTGCGGAGAGAGTCATAAAGGGTATCGCTCTTGAAATCTGTGTCGTCGTCGTCGCCAGACGTAAAGCCTCTGCCGTCACTATCGAATGCTTCCGTTTGGGGTGAGGCTTCATAATAGAGGAACCTCTGGTGGGAGGTGGACATTGCCGAGCTGGCCGTGGAGCTGGTAGAAGGCTGAAGAGGCCGAACAGAAGGAAGAGTAGTCGCGCCAGCAGCTACCCCGCCAGCAGGGCCGAATGCAGGCGCAGAAGAGACAGCGCGATGCAAAGAATTGTCGGTTTGAAAATTCAGAGCACGCTGAGGCGGGGGGGTTAGTGGGGAGGACAGGACTCTGGTATGAGGACTGTGAAACGATGAAGAGATGTTGGTGGAGGAGGATGTAGTGGGCGCAGTGGCCGCGTTGGTGGTGGCAGTGGCGGAGGTACCTGTAGAGGCGCTGTAGAGAGGGTGCTGGGCAGCGGGAGGGATGAAACCGAGTCGAGGGCCGGAGGATTGGCGGCGCTGTGGGTGCTGCATGGAGCGCTGGGTAGCTTGCTGGTGGGAGTGCTGAATTTGATGCTTCTGATGGTCACGCCCATCAGTCGCATGCTGGTCCTGCTGAGAATGCTGGGCTTTCTGGACCTGGAGAGGCGCACCAAAGGCAGCTGAAGCAGAAGCCATCCTGGGTAGCGTCGCAGGCGGACCTCGTTTTAGCGAAGCGATTGGTGGCTCCAGGCTCGTGGTGCCATGCCCCACGCCCGCTAACACCGCCGGAGAGCCGCTAATGGGCGCTGACGCATGTCGCCTGCCCACGCTAGCAACACCCCCAGAAGCCCCAGCGCCTCCAGAGGTCGCCTGGCGCTCGTCTCGTTTCGGACGCCTAATGCTGCCAGACGTTTTGGATACCAGATGACCCGTGACTGTTGCAAATGACGTAGACAAGGATCTTCTCATGCGCATCGACGACGACGGCCGTTGAGCTACATCATCCCCGCTACCCTCCGTCCGAGTCGGCACCACCAGGGTATGAGGCTGCATAGCTACACCTCGTCCCTGCTTCTGCTCTCCTTGCTCTCCCTTGCCGACCTGCTCAGGCACAATCTCTGCTGGTGCTGCCAGTGCCAGTTGAATCGACGGTCCACGGCGCAGAGATGACGGACGAGATGGAGAAACCATTTTAGGCTTCACCAGATGAACGGTGGTCTGGCACGCCGAAATAGCCTTGGCCGATATGCGTCGCACGGTATTGGCTCTCGAGCGGGGACTGCCAGTAGCAGGACGACCATCTGCAGCCAGATTGGTTCTTCTCGTGTGAAAGAATGACGACCAGTGCGCATTCTCTGGCAAGGTTTGGCTAGCGGTCGTGTTGGATCCCGTGCATACAGACTCGGTGCTTGGGCGCTGCTCAAAGGAATACTTGGGCGGCTCTCCAGATTGCCGAGGTCCCTGGTTTTCCTGTGCATTCAAACGTAGCTGTTCGAGCGTAGCGGTACGCTGGTGGCTCGTGGCCGGTCGACGCAAGGTTGGCAAGTGCCCTTTTGATCTGGAACGAGACAATGTGTAGGAATCATCCTTGTTTATCGAGGGACATCTCTTGACGAGCTTATTGGGCGGCAGGTTAGGGGCGGCTGTCCTGGGACGCAGAATCGGTGCTGTTGAGCAGTGTGACAGCGCAACGGACTGCCCGTCGACGACCATACTAGAGCGAGGACTGGAGCCGTGCTGGGACAGAGGGCGGAGAGAAAGCCTTCGCATCCATGAGCCGGTCGAGGAGAGGGAGTTTCGGCGACTGTCTGGCTGACCAGGCGAGGCAGGGTGGGTGTCGTTTGCGAGTATATTATTATTCTTGGTAGAGGGACGGCGACTGGGAAACTGAGAGGATTGAGGTCGTTGGTAGCGCGACAGCGGGGGCCGAGAGCGTGACGCAGGGCGAGGGAGCGTCAAGTGGTTCAGATCGTGGGCGGCCATGGCGATTGGCTCTTGGGGGCGGCTCGTGGCGGGACGAGACACGGAGGCAGAGGTCAAGCGATCATGCCGAGTCGGTGATGGGTCGAGGGAAGCATTCCGTTTGTGAAGAACACGGCGGCCGGCAGATCTTTCGGAATCCGGGGGGTGGCCAAAAACCAGGCCACTGGCAGCGGCAGCAATGGCAGTACCGGTGCCAACGAGCTATATGGAGGGCGTCGAGGCGCAGAGGTCAGCGAGACTGGGGAATTGAAGGTGCCACGGCTGGAGGGAGAGAAACGCGGAAAGAGCATCAACGACGGATTCGGTGGGGATTGACGAGGCTCAGGTATGCATTTGAGATGAAGGCCAAGGCGAGCTGCAACGGGTTTGGTATGAAGGAGCGAATGAACGAAGCAAGAGGATTAGGAGGGGAGGGGGAAGAGGGGGGAAGGGGATGGCAGAGAAGGAGAGCTGGCGATTATGGGATCGAGAAAGAGGAAGAGGGAAAGGGAAAGGGAAAGGGGAAGAAGAGAGGCAGATATCAGAAGAGAGATGGGCAAAAGTCAAAAAGGGTTGGGCGAGGGGTCGAGGTGGTGGTGCTGAGGCGTTGATAAACTTACACTGGGAACCGTCTGCATGATGGCTGGCGCCTGGCTGGTCAGCAAGAGAAATGCAGGACGAGCATTCTAAGATTGAGGGGAGAGGTGAGGTTATGGATGGAATGCGCGATGCATTGTCCCGCTGGCAAGGACGTTTGCGAATGAGACAGCAACGGAGTGAGGTTTGAGGCGGACGGGGAATGGACGTGATGTTTTTTTCTGTGTTGTTCTGCCTGCAATGGAGGAAGGGAGGAGAGGAGAGAGCTTGTGTGGTGTTTGTGTTTTGGTATGCGTAAAGTGGTAGGTAAGGAAAAAGCAGGGCAACAAGCAGGCCGAGTCCAAGGCCGAATGGGGGTCAGTGGTGGACGGCCAGTGGATGGATGACCAGTGACTGGGCCGGATTAGATTAGCGTTTTGGTAAATAAACACCAAGGCAAGGTACTGGCAGGTAAATAAAACAGCCACCCGGTATGGAGGTCCAGCTACAAGATGCAGGCCCGCGTTTGCAGATACCTCGCAGGGCAGAGCAGCTCTTTGATTGTAGTAATGCCCGAAAAACAAAATAGAGAAAAGAGGAGAGGGAGAGGGCGAAGAAGAACAAGAAGAACAAGAAGAGACATGAATATAAATGAATTCCTAGCAACAACTTTTTAATTCAACTGTGCGCTGCAAGGGGATGCTACAAGGCCTAGCCAACTTGTACTGGTGCCGTACTGGTACAAGCCAGGCTCGCCGGCGCAGCAGCGGGGTCCCCGGGGGTCCACTGGCTCGGACAGCACTGTGTTTTAGAGGCTGGCCGCTGCAAGCTCAATTCACAGCGCATGGGGCGCTTGTTTGGGAATGTCTGAATTTACTGCAGGTGCGATGTGATTTTGTACAGGTCTGAATACGTCAATGGGACAAGTAAGCCAGAAGAGACAGGAGAAAAGAAGAAAGGTTTGGAACAGGGAGAGAGAGAGAGAAAAAAAAAAAAAAAAAGAGGCGTCGTGAACAATGTAATCTGTAGATCCAGATTCAACATGCTGGTGATACCGGTACCACGCAGCTCGGCGTGGGGCATGTGACGGGGGGCCCAGCCAGAGGTGGGAAACCGAGCCAACAAGGACTGGGCTAATAATAAACAAGACGAGCAATCAACCACTGACCGGAGCGGAAGCACAACGAACTGCAGGATCCGTTCGGAGTAAGTCAATGCGATGATAGACGGTTGACGGACAGAAAGAAGAGAAGATGGTAGTGGTCAATAATTTTTCGAGAAAAAAATCAGACCATAGAGAGAGTCAAAACAGCCGCCGACGTCGATGCTGTGTACCGCGACATACAGTAGACTGCATTGCTAGTTATCTGCTAATAATAAATTCTTCTCCCATCAATTCAACTGCCTTCAGTGACCAGCAACAAACATCCGTCCGGGTGGGGGCCTACAGTGCATACATACATAGGTATGAGGGAGAGGCGGACGACGTCTGGACACAACGGCAGCTTCTAGAGCTGACACATGCCAACTCGGTGCAAGTACGTACAAGCCAATATTTGCCCGTATCGACATGATATATCGTACCGAATTAGTGCAAAGGAAAGATGACCTCGAATGCAGAAAATTTAGGAAAGCGTAACCACGCGAGCATCCAACCTGTTCGTCACTAACAGCTCCAACCTTATTTACACGACAGCTTCCTCCATCGCACCCAAGCCTTAGTTTTTTTTTTTTTTTCCTCTTCTCCTCGCAACGGCCGTCAAGACAAGGAGAAAAAAAAAGGTCTGACATGCATGTTCCGTCAGAAACAAACGAGCCCTGGTCATGTCGCACCCGTTGCGCTGCCCCCTTGCGTGCCTCATTTCCGTTACTGGCCCATGTCCACAGCTGCAAAAAAAGGCGTATATCGGGAGTGCTAACAAGGACAAGCGCTCACTGACAATGTGCCCAAGCACTCTGCGTTTTGATGGCAATTATCCGTCGGTAACCTACATTGGTACCATGTCTGCTCAGCCTTGCCAGCTGTGAAGGGAATAATTATAAGCCCGCTCTCTCCCAGGCATACTTCTTATTCGTGCTCCCAGTTATCTCTTCTCATTCCACATCTAGATGCATCGTCCGTCCTTCATGTCCGTCCGCCTTGCCTTGCAGGAGCTGGACTGTTTCGTCTCCAAGAGCCCCATTTGTCCCATGTTGTCTGTCCACATTTCTTCAAATTCTTATTTTTTTTATTTTTATATCCTGTTTGACTTGTGGCTTTTCCATCCAACTCCACAATGCAGTCAGCCTTCCTCTTTGCCTATCCAGAGCCTTTGCGGCTTCCTCACTGGTGACTGGTTGCCGCTCTGTTCCGCTGGCTGAGCCCCAGAACTGGCGCATGCACACGCAACTGCGTCATTGGAGCGCAGTTGCTTGGTTGACTTTGATTCTGTGTAAAACTACTGCAAGCTGTTATCCACTGATGCCGTGCCTTTCCTGGCTGACTTGCAGATGGCGCCAACTTGTCCTTGCTTGTTGAGTCCACTTGCAATCCAGCAGGCGCCCGGCGCCCACGAAAAATGTTGCCGTATATGGCGATGTGATATAATAGCGCTGATGGCCTATTAATCAACCATCACTTGTTATGCCACCGGTTTTTTTCGTTATTCACCACTGGCCGCCCGAGTTTGAGCTCGAGTTTCTGGCTTGCATGACGCCTTCTTCCTCCGCCCCTCTCCCGTGTCTTCTTTCACCCCCTCTGTAGCCGCCTTGTTGCGCTCATTCTCACTTTGACTTTTCATGTCTCAACCCAATCATTTTCATTCTTGCTACAGAGGTGGACTTCTATCCGATGCCCAACAAAGGACGGCCAATGGTTGGTTGGCCCTGTAGGCGGATCCTTGGCCTTGTTGCTCCCGTGCGCATCATCTCCCAATGCTTCTCGCATGCATCCATCCCGTGGCTTGCTTGCCAGTGGTCTTTTTCCTTTTTTGCCCCAATGGGTCGATGGAGTGAGTTATTTGCAGGTACCAAATGCATATGTATGTCAGTCGTTTTATGCGAGATCTTTCCGAGGCATTCCGCACGCACCGGCCATGTGTACCTATGTACAGCGCATGAATCCTATAAGCTATGTATGTACATACACAGGTAACATGAGAAGGACCTTGGTGCTTTTC